ACTTTCGCGCGTTTGCCTCGCACGTCTCAGGCCACGAAAGAAGAAGAGATACGGATGTGCATTGTAACGGCACGCGCGGTCAAGTGAGTCTCAAAACTTCAATGGACGACCCTTCGACATTCCGACTATGCGAAATTATATCTATTAATAAATATACATATTAGCTAAAGTCACATATTATTCTTTGTCTTGTCCTTTTAAACCTTTTACTTTGTTCCTATTGGAATGAATTATTTCAATCCAATCGATATCATTCAAGCTCGTGCCCAATCTCGAATTATCTTTCGAAGAATGAATGTATTATGTTATTAATACAAAAAAAGAAATTATCAAAAAACTCGATCGTATCTCGAAAGATATAATAATTTCGTTGAAAATGAATTAATATCGTTTGCGTTAAATTCATGACGTGTGTTAATTCATTGACATATTATTGTCGAAGAAGAAAAATAGAAAAGGAAAAAAAGAAAAAAGAAAGAAAGAAAGAAAGAAAGAAAGAAAGAAAGAAAGGAAGGAAGGAAGAAAAGAACAAAAGTTCTGATTAAATTGGATCAAATGAAAATTGGAATAAGTCTTATATAGAAATATATTTTCTTGTTTCTTTTTTTTTTTCTTTTTTCTTATTGAAAAGACTTTTAACAAACAGCTAACAAGAGAAAAGATGAATATCAAATATATATATATATATATGTAGTACGTAAATAAGCAATATATCTTTTAGGAACGTATTAAGAACTTTTTCTAACTAATGAAATTCTATCTTCTTCTAACGGGATGTTTCGGAATAATATCATCATCTCATATTTTTATGATATAGAGATATGTAATAAACTCTTCGTTTAGATTTCGAAAGGTAGAAAGGAAAAGGTATATAAAAATGCATTTTGTGAAAAGTTTAATGCACGTATCTATCCATTGTACATAAATATTGTCTAACAATGTAGGCGTAACGTGTGCGAACGACGTACACAATTTTATTTCGCAGTGACGAAGATTTATGGTTCGGTACATTGAGAAAAGGTGTTTGAATTCTAAAAAAAAAAAAAAAAAGAAAAAAAACAGAAACGCATTAAGGTAGAATCTTGGAAATCTTTTTTGAAATTGAACGAAAAGAGGATAAACTCGAACGTTTCTTTTCTTTTTGTAAATTTTTCCTTTATTTTTTTTTTTTCTTTTTGAAAAAGAAACGATTATACCAAGTGAAATTAATGTTTGACACACAATGAACAATTAATGATTCGAGGAAGAATAATATCTGACTGGAGTATTATGAAAGGAAAAATATATTAAGATTGATATATATATATGAGAAACTTTTTAGTAATCAAAAAAAAATCACAAAACCATCGTCGGTTTTATTCATCGAATCACGTATCTGCTTGCCTCCTTTATTTTCTTCAACACCCACCACCACTCATCCCCCATCAAAGACTTTTACGTAAAAAAAAAACACGCGCGAGAATTTTCTTTCCCGAGAATTGTTTTTTATTTGTTTCTTTCCTTCCTTCCTTCCTTCCTCTCTTTCTCTTTTTCTTTCTTTCTTTCTTTCTTTCTTTCCTTCTTTCTTTCTTTCTTTCTTTCTTTCTTTTTCCTTCTCTTATTCCATTTTTACGAATCCCGATCACGGAAGAAAGTTCGCGGTCGTAGTAATGTCGCGCGACTCGTGGAATGGCAAAGAAATTTTCTCGAACGAACATAGAAAAAGAGAACATGGATCTACTAGACAAACGATATTTCGATTTTATGAGATATCTTCTCTTCGAAATGTTCTTCTCCTTCTTTTCAAAAGTTGCATCCTTTCTTATAACGTGGCAAACTTTCTTCCGTGTATATTTGTAAAATGTGACATGGTTAAAGAAAAATGTAATAAAAAGATAGATAGATAGATGAAGAGAGAGAGAGAGAGAGAGAGAGAGAGAGCGAGGGGGGGGTAGGGAGAGTTTAAGTAATTTTAAGTGAAACGAAACTTGCGACTTTTTTTTTCTTTATTGAATTTTTCTCTTAAGCGAAATGAACGAAGAAAAAAGAAAAGAAAAGAAAAGAAAACAAAACAAAACAAAATAGGAGAAAGAAAGAAAAAAAAAAAAAAGAAAGAAAAAAAAAGAAACCAAAGGAGTTACACGTCCGCGTCTTATATTATTAAAAAAAATTTCAAATGTTCCGATGAGGAAAAATGAGAAAAAGGAAAGAAGAAAAATTAAAAGAAAAAAGAAAAGAGAGGAGAAAAGGAAGTAAGTATGTCGTTAGAAATTTAACGAGTTGACTGTTAAAACTCACTTTTAAATGAACAATTTTCGGCGTGCGGTACAAGTTGATCCATTTTTAGGAAGAAAATTGTTTTGACTTGCGAAAGTCGTCAATGAAAGTTGGAAAATACGTTTTATCAGAGCGACGTCGTTTCGTAGTGTCGTCGTCGTCGTCGTCGTCGTCTCTCTCTCTTTCTCTCTTTTTTTTTCTCTCTCTTTCTCTCTCTCTCTCTCTCTCTCTCTCTCTCTCTCTCTCTTGCACTCACAAATGGACGTTCGATGTTGGTATGAAGTACGATTACGTACGGTATTGCATTAAACTTTCATGTTTACTGATGCATACGCTCTAGCAGAGTAAAAGCGCGTTTCACAGCGATCCAGTTTTCTAAAACTATCGAGTCTCGAAAGTACCAAAGAAGATCCAAAGAGAAAGAGAGAGAGAGAGAGAGAGAAAGAGAGAGAGAGAAGGATACTATATCGTCGAACGATTCGTTCGATTTTGATGATTTTTCAAAATAAATATATTACATTTTCATGAGAATTATGAGAATAAGAATGATATATAACTCTCTAGCATCCAATCGTTATACTCGAATGATATTCATTAATATTATACGTTATTATACGAAATTGCGTACCAACCATAATGGTGATTCTCTTTGTTATTATTATCGCACATTGTGACGGTAGTTTCGACGAATGAAAGAACGAAAGGAACGAATGAACGAACGAATGAACGAACGAACGAACGATAAAACGAACGAACGAACGAACGAACGAACGATCATTTTTCAAGTAATGCTTACCACGATAATACGCGGTTGGGATAGAGGGTAAGGGGGTAAGAAGAGTAAAGAGAAGAGTAGAAGAAGAGAAGATGAAAATTCGTGGAAAGTAGTGAGAGAAGGGGGGAGAGGATGGGATCCATTAGCAACCGTGTGAACGAAAAGTAGAGTTCATTGCCCATACGAACTTGGAGAAAATGGTAAAACTCATGAATAGAGACGACGCTTACTACGTTCTATGGTTTCGCGAAACCCAATCGGTGAAACAATACGACCATAGTCTTATACTTCTTAAAATATATATATATATATATATATATATATGTGTGTGTGTGCTTGTGTATACGTAGATAGATACAGTTATATGATATATGTTTATATATAAAAGCTTGTACGCTCGATTAAAAAAAAAAAAAAAAAAGAAAAAAAAAAAGAACTTGAGTACTATTTTGCAATCATATTTTTATGGATTTCTATATTAAAGAAATATATTATACAAATTTATATATATATATAAAATATATTTATATATATATATTATATATATATATAAAATGTTATGTAGATATAAAGTTTCTTATATTTTTTCTTTTAAGATATTCATTAACGTATTACATAGTATCATTTTAACCGATTACGATAATGAAAACGACGAAATGAAATTAAAAATGAAATTTCGTTAAAACGTTTTAAATAAGATTAAAGGAGATATTTATACGACATTTATTATACATACATACATACACACGCATATATATATATATATATGTGTGTGTGTGTGTGTGTGTGTGTGTGTGTGTAAGAGAATAGTATAGGAAAAAAAAAAAAAGATTGAGAACAAATATTGAAATACGTCACTCGAGAATTAATTGGATTCAAGTTGTTAGTAGTGGAATGTTAGATGTTAATAACGTAAGTATTAGAGTCAAACGTTTAAATCCTTTTTCCGTTTGTGTTATATCGAAGGTAAAAAGAAGTGAAATTAAAAGAAAAGAAAAAAGAAAAAAAAAACGAAAAAAAAGACGAAAAAAAAAACGAAAAAGAAAAAGGAATAAGGAGAAAAAAAATATGCAAGGAGAACGAAGAAAAATAATAAGAATAAGAAGAAGAATAAGAATAAGAGGAGGGAAGGAAGTCAAGGGATCTCGGTGTGTCGAAAAGACTTGGTAGAACTGGTGTTAAGACGGTGGAAAAATAAAAGCTTTCTCGTTTCGCGACAAACTTGATGATTCCTGCCAACTCCTTATTTTTGTTTCTTTTTTCCTTTCGTTTCTTTCTTTTCTTTCTTTCTTTTGTCCCCCTCCTGCCCCCCCCGCCCCCTCATTTTTAATAGTCCTTTTAATTTCTTTTTATTTATTCGTTTATTTTCTTTCGTATCTTTTTTGCCTTTTCTTTTCTCTCTCTCTCTCTCTCTCTCTCTCTCTCTCTTTTTTTTCGTACTTCACTCCCTCTCCATACTTTATCCTTCTTATATCGCTGGTTTTTTTTTATTCTTTCTGCTTTTGGTATAATGATTTCTAGCGACCCATTTCGGTCCGACTACTATGAATAAAAGTGTTTATTTTTTCTCTAGCGGTTCGACACTCCTTTCTTTTACCCACTTGTAAAATTCGTGTTTGTTGCATAGAAACACGCGAAAACTACCATGCACTTTCTCTCTCTCTCTCTCTCTCTCTCTCTCTCTCTCTCTCTTACTCTCTCTTTCTTACTTTCTGCCGTGCAGCTGACACTTGTAAATTCAGTGAGACTTGCAATTCGTCTTGTAAACTCGCCAACATCCGAAGAATTCGTTCGGTCAAAAGCTATTTTTCCTTCTTTTTTCGTTCTCTCTCTTTCTCTCTCTCTCTCTCTCTCTCTCTCTCTTTTTCTTTTCCTTTTTCTATTTTTTTTTTTTTTTATTTCACGCATGAGACAATACGCTACTCGAAATGTCGTGAATGTTAAAATATTATATAAGAGAATCCTTTACCTGTTCGACGTTATCTACGTCGAGATTGTTGGCGACGTTCGCGATCTCTGATACTCCGTCCTCGATCGCCGAATGATCGTCGTCGATCGTACTGTTGTCACTAACTGCTACTCCCAAAAGACATATCTGTAATAATATGATAATAAAGATAAATGATATCTCCAGTATATTAAAATTTTATTGTTATTAATTTATATGTTATTAATTATAATTTGATTATATTCCATTAAGAATATAAGATGAAAGGGAGATATGGAAAATTTCTAAATTTGTTAAAAATCAACTGATCTTTCTGATTTCTTTCTTTTTTTTTGTTTTTTTTTTTGTTTTTCTTTTTGTTTTCACGTTAAATTTCCACTCAAAAAAAAAAAAAAAAAGAAAAAAAAAAGTTAATTACTACATTATAATTATAATTACGATGAGTATGTATTTCATTAAGAATTAAAAAAAAGGGAAGAAATAAAAAGAAAGGAGAGATAGAAGATATATGTAAATATTTAGAAGAAAAAAAAAAAAAAAATAAAAAAGAAAAAAAAGAAACGAAAAATAAGAAATATTTGATATTTTTACGTTTACATTAAATCCCTGTGGATTATATATTAAATCGCATTAATAATTATAATCAATATACGTATATATATATATTTTTTCTTTTTTTATTAACAATAAAACAAATCATAAGAAAAAGAAAAAAGAAGAAAAAAAGAGAGAAGAAAAAAAAGATACAACAAGATCTTCGTCGTCGTGTTAACGTGATTAATATATAATTATATTCAATTAATATATAAATATATTAACTAAAGAAATCTTCATAATTAATAATAAATTTTCGACAATGTTCGTGTGTAGAAAAACATCTTGTTATAGGGGCTTATAACTCGGCGTTAAAGAAAGTAGGAACATATTTTTTCTAGTTTTTTTTCTAGTTTTTTTTTTATTTTTTTTTTTTTTTTTTTTTTTATAGAAGCCGGCTTACTGGGCACGTTATGATCGAGTGCAGAAAAATAATGGCTAATTCTGGTCCGAAACGTGACATGTTCGAGCCATAAAGTATCCTCGATATATAGTAGTTGAGTATGTTCTCAGCTCTCTACAAAATTCTCTCTCTCTCTCTCTCTCTCTCTCTCTCTCTCTCTCTCCCTTTCTCTTTCTCTTATAGCGTTTGTTAGAGAAACCGAAACCGACACCTTTTAAAAAACTTATTTTATTTCTTTTTCGAGGATTCATTTCGTGGAATATTTCCAACTATGTCCAACTTGTGGTCGCACGCGATCGCTTAGAAAAGGGTTAAAGAGAAAGAGAGACAAAGAGAAAGATATATATATAGAAAGAGAGAGAGAGAGAGAGAGAGCGAAAGGGGGAGGGGGAGGAGGAGAAAAAAAAAGATGAGAAATGAGAGTAGGCAAAATTTAATTGTGACCTAGCTTCAAGCCGAAAACGGATATCTATTTTCCGGTATTAACGTACAAGAGAGAGAACTTTTATAACAAGCTCTACGGACCAGTATTAGTATTAGTTAGTTAATGGTAGTAGTAGTAGTAGTTGTAATAGTAATAATAGTAGTTAATAATAATAGTAATAATAATAGTGGTAATAATACGTCAGCATACTTTCAGTAAAACTCATTCTGAAAAATTTCAAACCGACGAATCACAGCATCCACCTCGTCGTCGTCATATATAAAATTTGCTCAAACTCTTTTTATACGTCGGAATGATACGTACATATATATATATATATATATATATATATATTTTTTTTTTTTTTCTTTTTTTTCAACGTTGATACGAAGATAAGAAAAAAGAAAACGATAAGAACGTTCGTTGATCAGTCCGTAGATCTTTTTAATCCGATTGATTTCTATCTGATTACTGTATATGTATGTATAAAAAAGAGAAAGAAAAAGAGAGAAAAAAACAAAAATCTCTATAGAAAAATTTTCTATAGAGTTTTCGTCGCGATCAATAATTTATCAAGATATAAATTTTAAAAAATACGTAAGATTTTTTAAAACGAGGAATTATTTTGAATGATAAAAATAATGTGTCGTTTTAATGAAAACGTCAAATATATCTCGAAAATAATTTGGAATATGTGTATGCGTTAGAACGTTATCGGTTCAATTCGATTTAGTTTCATTTTGTTCTCTTCACCGTTCGGTTCCGTTCCGTTCGGTTCCGTTCGGTTTCGTTCCGTTCCGTTCCATGATGCGGCTTCTCATAAAGATCGTTCAGTTGATGGAGCTTAACTCTGTCCGTTGCAACGTTATTAGCGATAAATTTAGACGGTCGGACCGGCCTGTAATTAAAGGTTAACGCTCGAAGCCTCGGGCATCTAGAAAATGAACTTGTATAGATCGGGATTAGAGAGGAGTAAAGTATGCAACTATTTAGTTACATATGTGATTACATGCATCTGTATAAGTGTATGTAGGTGTACTAGTATATGGGATGATAAATAGATAGATATAGAAAGTATTCATATAACTTTCGTATAAGCTTATAAATTGGTTTATAATTTTAATTGGCTGTTAAATTTCACAAGATACGATAAATTCATTTTCATTCAAGTTCTTAATAATTTTATATATATATATATATAAGTGATAAGTAAAAATCGATCATATGTTGAAGATCGACGTAAACGACGATTATAGTTAATGAAAAAATTTTCTTTTTTTTCTTTCTTTCTTCCTTCCTTTTTTTTTCCTTCTGCAAGATCCACGAAAATGGATATTAGTCGATCTAAAGAATAATTATAGCTTTAACCAGTAGGAGGATGTTACTTATTGAAAGGGTCTGACAGAGTTATTTATCAAGTTTGAAATTGATTATACGCTGTCTCGTCGCCGATTAAAAATCATAGAACGAATTGCCAATAGAAAAGATTTTTATATGTACTGTTAGGATCACGTTTCTCTTCGGTTCTTTGTTTTTTTTTATTTTTTTGCCTTTTTCTTTTTTTTTTCTTTTCTTCTTTTTTTTTCTCTCTTTTCTTTTCCTTTTTCCTTGCTCCGAAGAAAATTATAGTGATCGAGGAGTAATGTTACTTGTTAGGTAATCGCGATGATTAAGATAGCGGATAATTATATTTAACTGGATGATCGAACCGGTAATACGTTTTTTTACTTTCTTTTCTTCTTTTCTTTTTTCTTTTTTTCTTTTTTTTTTTTGATAAAAAAAATTTAATCGAAACAGATCTAGTATATCTCTATATATACTTTTACGTTTATATATATATATATTTTTTTCCGTTATACGAATATATTAAAAAAATGATACGAATAGCGAATGTGCGTGTATGTACTTTGTGATTGTTTTTTTTTTTTTTTTTATTTTTATTTTTTTTTATCGAAGAAGAGAAAAAGTTATTATCAAACATTATTCAAACGGATTAGAATTAAGCAATGTAATTTATATCTCGAACGCATGAACGACTAACGAGCCGTCTAGTTTCGATAGCGTTTCATTCTTATCTGAACCACTTGATTGGCTCGCGTGCCGCACACGGATTAACACCAACCGTTCGCATTAATTCCAGTAATTAAGCCGAACATGACTCGGCTCGTGTATCGTGTGCCTTTGTTGTCAAAAAAAAAGGAAAAAAAAAAAAAGGAATAAAAAAAAAGACCAACCGAGAACCCTCGCTTTCTTTCACTTTCTCCTTTTCTTTTTTTCCTCGTGGCAAATGAGGCAATGTTTTGTAAATTAATGAATCAAACTTTTACAAAATAAAAATTTTTTCTCCTTTCTAAATTAAACACCGAAACAATCGACTTATTTATTTATTTATTTTTCTTTTTTTTCTGTCATTATCCATTGTATGATCTTTAATTTAATTTGTTGTATTTAATTTTACGATAAAGAAGAGATAGCTTTCATCGAACAATTAGATATATTCCGATAAATAATTGTAGATAATTGAAAAAAGAAAAAATAAAAAATCGGAAGAAAAGGGAAAGGAAATGAAAAGTAAAATAAGAATAAATTAAAACGAAAGAGAAATTTCCAATTGTTTCAAATTTCCAAATGGAAACGGAATTTAAAAGCGATTCGATTATTCGACCGAAGGAAATAAAAATAAAAAGAAGGAAAAGAAAATAAAACAAAATAAAATAAAATAAAATAAGATAAAATAAAATTAAATGAAATAGAATGAAATGAAATGAAATGAAATGAAATGAAATAAAATAAAATAAAATAAAATAAAATAAAATAAAATAAAATAAAATCGATCGATTGTCATTGTCGCACGTGGCGACGGAATTAAAACTTTGGCGAAGTTAAATGTTCGGCAATGTGTTGGGATAATAGGGAAACATTTGGAAATGTAATTAAATTAAGTCTGTGTATTTACGAGCGTGTAAGTACCGAGAAGAGCCAGAGTGACAACGAAGCATCGTCAACGTTAGATAAAGATAGAGATAGAGAGATAGAGAGAGAGAGAGAGAGAGAGAGAGAGAGAACGAGAGATAGAAAAAGAGAGAAACAACGACTCAACAAAAATTTCGCTTCCGTGTCCTGGATTTAAATGGACGTATCGTGTTCGAGTCCGAGACTTCCTCTCTTCGTTTGTTGAGTATACGTTCACGTATTTCCATTTATCTCGTCAATCAAGTTCCTCTTATCGAAGACGAAGAAGAATTGGATGTTGATTAGGTTTTGGTTAGTCCGGGTTAACCGAGGAAAAAAAAAGTAAGAGGAAAAAATATTCCCATTGGTTGAGTATAAAGTGTAAGAGAGAGAGAGAGAGAGAGAGAGAGAGATAGGAAAAAAGAGATAGAAAGTGTTAAGGAAACAACAGTGATCCCAGGGTCGCGGCTTGTAAAAAAAAAGAAAGAAAAAAGAAAAAAAGAAGAAAGTGGAAAAGAAGGAGAAAAAAAGGAGAGAAAAAATAAAAGAAAAGGAAGAAGAAAAAATAAAGGAGTAAAGAAAAAGAAAGAGGTAGCCGCCTCGAGCGTCCTCGGGAAAACATGGGATTGTACTTTACGCCATGGTGTGAATAAAATTAATTTTCTTAACCGAAATTGCGTGTTTCGATCGTATATAAGAAAGAGAAAGAGAGAGAGAAAGAAAGAGAGAGAAGATTAGGCTCGATTTGAAAAATATGCGTCGGCGAATGAATAA